CAGCTCACAGTTTCGTTCTCTAATTGGGGGGTTGCTGGGTGCTGCTGCTGCTGCTGCTTCTGCTCTGCTGTGTGCGCACAGCTGCCGGGCGAGCGTCGCTTGCTTGTATTTATATTGAGTTTGGACTTGGCGGGCTATCCTAGGAGGATATCCGGGCTTCCCCCCGGGTCCTCTCGCCTCGCACCCCGCGTTGGCTACATTTCACAAATTAGCGTTGTGTGTATCCGCATGGAAACGTATGGTATCAGTTTGTCAACAGTTTGTCATCTCGTCGATGACAAACAGATGTCAAACGGATGACAAACTGATGACGATCCGATGATGAAATTTGATCACATAATAATACGGGGGGGGGTAGGGGCAAGCGTGTGTGTGTGTGCGTGCGCGTCAAAGGCATCTGATTAAACGCGTTCCAAACAGTTAGGCCCCCAACGCCCGCCCGACGCCTGGGCCTCCCTCCTGGCGCCGGAGGCACAAAGCGAGCGGCCCGGAGGGGAGGAGGGGGAGGGGGTCAAAAATAAAAGAAACGCGCGGCACACAATCTCACGGAGGGACAGCAGAGGGGAATGTGCGGACCCGCCGCCGGATTAACATGCAAGGAGAATAATCGACTGTTGAGACTGTTGAGCTCCGCGCGCCTCGCGCCCGGCGCACAATGAAACAAAGGTCACGGTCCAAGGGAGAGAGAGAGAGAGAGAGAGAGAGAGAGAGAGAGAGAGAGAGAGAGAGAGAGATCAATGTCAGGACGATTGCCTATTCAATTCCACATGAAAGTGGACTGGATTCAAATCTTATTGTCGAACGCACGGCTAAGCGCAGTTGTGGAGAGGAGTAGAAAGGGGGAGGGGGGGGGTAATTGTAGGTCACTTTACATCTTTAACCACCGCTCATCATAAGTCACAGTTTCAATTGAGGAGGATCAAGGACGTAATCGCCCCAACAACACACGCGTGTACTTCGATGCAGAGTATCATGACTTTCAGTTTATTCCTGTTATGGGCTGTCGGGGTGAGCCTCGAGTGGCTCGTACCCCCGGCGGCGTCCTCTCCTCAGCCCCTGTGCACGCGCCCGCGACGCGCGCGCTTCAGAGTTTCGGCCCTGCCGCCGCCGTCATCGGGGAGCCATTCCGCGAGTCGTAGGACGATGGGGGCCGCGTGCGAGGCGGGCGGGGGGCCGCTTCCTCCGCCGCCCGCCGCCCGCCTTGCTTCTCACGCGGCCCCCGCCGGTCCATCGCACTTGCACCCCGCCAGCCACTCGCGGCTCCATTTCAATAATTTTCCCTCCACGTCTTTCCGGTCGTCGGCGGCGCTCCTCTCGGCTCCGTGTCGAACACGCAACCCGCCTAACGGTCGCCATGGATTTTCTCCCATTTTTATTTTATTCGGTATCGGCCCCGGTCCGGAGGCGGCCAGAGGAGGGCAGGAACGAGTTTTATCAATGGGTCCCACGGCCCTTTTCTTAGGGCCCGTCTAGTTTTCTCCTTTTATTACCGACCGCCCGACGGGCCACGTGTGTTTGGGTGGAGCCCTTCCGTGAGTGTGCGTCAGAGAGATAGAGAGGGGGGGGGCAACGCATAGGTATAGGTGCAGCAGGTTGAGGTTGACCCTCGCGTTCAAGTTAAGAGTTTTGTCTCCCGCTCCTCCCTTCCTTGCTTCTGTTGACGTAAAGGTATTAACCCCAGTCTCCTCCTTTTGCTTTCAGGCCGCAAGAAGATCAAGATCGGCAAAATCGGCAAGAAGGGCAAGAAGGGCGGCGGCCTCCTCCAGACCTTCTACATGCTCAAGATGATGTTCGGCATGCTCATCTCCATGAAGGTCGGCCTCCTGTCGTTCCTGCTCCAGGTCAAGACCTTCTTCCTGTCCTTCATCTTCGTCACCATCGCCGTCATCCAGTTCTTCTGGAAGCTCCAGGAGAAGAAGGCCCACGGCGGCATCAGCTACGGCCCCCCGTCCGGCGGCTGGGACTCTGGCAGCAGCTTCGGCGGCTACGGACCCTCGGCCCAGTCCGGTGGCTGGGACAAGCGCGCCTGGACCGAGCACGCTCACCGACAGGCCTTCGCCGCCCAGGCGCCCGCCAGCTAGGCGCGGCCGCGGCCTCCACCGCGAGCGCCCTGGCCGAGCAGCACGAGCGCGCCGTCAGGGGGTGGTGGTGCTCGACGGCCCGCTCGGCCGCCCAGCCCCGGCAGCGCCGAGGTGGATGATCTTTCTAGAACTGCGCAACAAAACGCTGCCGATTCCTCGTAGCAGAGCTCCACGCCGGTTATTTATTCGTTGTTGTTGTTGATATTGTTAATGATGATGCTAATTTATTTCCCTGTCGGTTTGTTTTGTTCTGACGATTGCTCAAAACGTTGTTAAAGTAATTTA